GTGGGGAGAGGGTATGCGGTTGATGTCGTGAAGACAGCCGGGCGAGTAGACTCAGTAGTAGAGGACATGGTTGTTGAGCAGCTGCACGAAGCTGGAATAGGCGGAGTGTGGCAGGGATGGACCAGCTGCAAGAATTTTGCTGCAGATGTAAATGCGCATCACGTGCCACGGCGATTGTGGCGTGAAAACTTTTGCTCGCGGAGCACTTCTCAAGTACCGCTCGAACTTTCAAATTTCAATACCTGAAAAATCCGTTGTATACATTTTGAAGCTGAACCACTCTCTATGGGTCAATATTGGATGTTGTGAGTACTATAGAGCGTGCTCTTACCTAACTCAGGCGCTGATGGCTCCCTTTCTAGCGTCAATCTTGATGCGAGAGAATGCAGAGGCTATGGCAAGTTGGGGGAATTTATGACTTACAGTCATGCTGGCAGCGTCAGCAGGTGGCTCTTGACGATGCTGCTCCCCCCTGTAATCGAACCCGATTTAGATGCACTCAATGACGAGATTTCACGGCGTGCCACAAGGTACAATAATACTTCCATCTGCCAGCCACAGCCTGACTCCCCGCAGGAGTCGCCTAGGCGGTGACTTAGGCCGTCTCAACATATCAACGGAGCTTCTCCGTATGATATTCTCTGAACTCGACTGTCTCGCAGATGTAGCCTGCCTAAGCATTGCCAACAGTGCGTTGTGGGTCATTGGTTTCGCCCGCGTTTCGGAGCTCGTCCGGAAACACCCAACGCGGTGGGAAGGCCAACGTGTGATATGTATTGGCGATTATGCAGAAGACTTGCCCGAGGGCCTGCTCAAACCCGAAGAGACGCAGGAACTCGAGGAGTTTCCCACCTTCTACGATTTTGTGTGCTCGTGCTACTCTGAGCGCTACCGTGCCAGCTGGAACCTGGAGTTCTTGAGACGTTTGCCGCGGGATGAAAGAGAGGCTTTCGAGTTATTGGCGTACCCAGGACTCATAGGAGAATTTGGCTTCGAATACCGCGACAGCTACTACCGCGAACGAAAGTGGCTTCTTTGCAATCTATCCAAGAAGGAATATGTTCGCTCCTCCAAGCTCTTAGACACCGTCGCGGATGCCATCCATCTCGGCGATGTCCTCCTTTCCCAGGTCTGTTGGTCCACCGACGATTCCACTTCTATGCAATATGAAGGAGATCTCCACCGCGGTGCGTGGGCTGGATACCGCTTTACAGTTCGGGATGTTGAAGAATTTGAAGAGCACGAGAAGGATGGAACCTGGAAAGATGTCTCGGAAGAGGTACTAAAGACAGTGGTTGAGATCTGGCGCTCTGAGCACGGTCCGAAGTGGCCTGAGAACCAGACGTAGGGCGGGAATGGAAACAACGATGAGAATGATGATACGTATCGGAGGCTGGGCAGGAAATGACGATCACGTCAATGCCTCAGATACTGTAGCTGTTGCTACTTGCTCAGGTACTTACGGAGAACGATGAGGTAACATCTTGTGATACGTTTATGATCATTTATTTAATCCAGACAAATTCATTAATGCATTGGTGTTAAAGGTGTATTCGCTTGTGTCGATCCGGTTCAATAATCCCACTGCTGTTCAATGCGTCAGCACTTTAATCTTGGTAAGGAGAGTCGGAGTTACTGATAAACGACAGCAAGACATATTAGCAAATTAATGGGAGCCCTTCCTTCCCGTCAGGTGAATGCTCGATCAACGGCGCGTCCCACAAGTACTACATCCGGTGTAGGCTTGTGGAACTGAGTGACAACTGTACAGCCGTTGTCTGGGGTTCTCCAGTCAAAGAAGGGACTCAATCGGGCAACCTCGCAGACGTTTCTTGGACTCCGGAGTCCGGACTAGATAGAAACCACCGATCCATAAAATTGGTTTAGATGATCTTGGCAGAAATTAGAGATCTTGTACGCACATGTCACCAACGGTGCTCTGCGGACGCTACAGACAGATATCCAGGAGTGTCCGGTACGACGAGAGGCAAAACGCATCCTCTGTATTGACTGCCCCTCTAGAGATGAACCTAGAGGCGTCATGCGTCCAGAAGAAATTGAAGAGAACCCTAAAAAGCAGACAATATTAATATGGTGCGAAAGATCTGACATGGCTCACAACTCAACGCTGGTGTACTTGTCACTGGGTATCACAGCCGGAAGGGAGCGTCATCAATCTTTTGCATCGACCTCTGGGAAGTTGCCGTCGACGTTATCCCGGTTGTACGTATGACTCCGCATGAGTACTATGCAACCTATCGAAGAGCGAATAGGTACTTTCTGCTCTTTTAGAGCACATGGTGGTAGACTCCCTTCACCTGGTAGATATGGCTTAGCCACGGGTTTGTTGGTACACCAGTTTACTCACGCACAACCCTTGTGAAGGGTGTCTCCATCGGCGCACATCGCCCAGGCATTGATCGAGATCCGCCGTCAGGACAGTAGCATGATCAGATGTCTCAGAAAATGATCTGCAGGGGATCACGGCTATCTGGCGCTCCTAGTACGACAAGCAGTGATCTATGCTATCTAGAAGGGCGACAAATAATCGGGTCAAATCACAGCTTTGCCGTAGCTGTCATCTACATTACGAATACTGGATTTCTTTACTTGGGTTATAGATACGTAGTGTAGGGATACTTCGTAGAATTGAACCAGAACATTATATTGGTACGTATCTGAGCGCTGAATGACCATGGTAGAACATGCCCATGTTCTGAAATACTATCAGAATTAGTACATACTGTACATAATGAGGCTATTTTGGCCATCGAGATCTGCGCGTGCTGTATTTGCCTGGGTGGGGACCAACTCCAATCCGAGATAGGCCCAAATAGTTCAGCGAAGTCGATTATTTCGTCCGAAGCTGTCCAGTAATACCAAGCTGTAGATTCGTCGGCGTCGAGAGCAGTGATTGCTGCCTCGAAAGTATTGATGGCCCACGTGGCATTGGCTTCCGCATCCCACCAGAAGGAACGCTCTTACTTCGTGGCTTCGGTATATAAGGCAGTCGCTTGGCATGCTCGCGATGAACTCTCGGCGTTCTCCCCACCATAATTGTTTGTCGGGCGATAAAGGTCGATTGCGACTCCATCAGCTTGGCTCTTGACGTGATATGTAGGTAAGTTCCACACGTGCTGGGTTCGGTCCGTTTACATTTACGTCCTGTGATCATTTGCACTCCAGAACCCTACACAAGCAATTCCAACACCTAAATACCTCGCTATTGTTACGCGGCCGTCAATATTTCTCTGTCTCCAATTATCCTTTCACTGCATTACTCAGAAGTTATGAAGGACAATGTCCCTGGTGAGATGTTCTACACGAGTGATTCCTTCGAGGCCTTCACGATCTTGTTATCTACACGGTATTCACGGGATGCTGATGAGAACGCCGTCCTCGCGCTTCGTTCTGGCGGTACAGCCCAGGTACAGCAAAGTCAACGTCACGATGTGACCATTGGATATGCCCCTGCATATGGACTCTATTACGAGGACGACTCGCAGGTGATTAACATACCCAGTCGCACCGTCACTTTACTCAACCTATAATCAAGATCTCGAATTATGAAAGGTCACTCTCATACCATGAAATGGTAGCACGGGGACAGCGGCCCATTGTGAATTTTGGATCCACGCTGCAAGATGCTTTACGGGAAGCACCACGGTTGACGGCTCGCGAGGATCGACCGCAGTCTCGAGCCGCAGGGATCTGGGATGCTCAGAACAGTCATGATCGTCTCGTAGATCACGGTGAACATGGTAGACCCTTCGACAACTCGAAAGTGATGAATGATTGCACCTGGTACCTTTCGGGCTCGGACATGGGCGCTATGTCACATTCGACGTGGTCGGCTGTCTACGGAGGCACAGATTACTATTCGTCTTCCACTGAACATACAGCGCCGACCGGAGATGTCTCTGCCGGTGCATACACCGTCAATAACGCTGCATCCGACCAGCGTAAGGCTGGGGTGCTTGAAAGTTCTGGCCCTAGGCCTCAAGACGAGCATATCATGTCCCTGGACAGAGCATGCAATGTAAGTATGTTTCAAATGCCCATGTCATTGACGTATCAATCATCTTCTTTCGCTACTTGCGGTGCTTATCTACATTCACAGAATGCGTCCGGGCCGGTGCTGTCACACCATTACCCATACAACCGCCCTTCCAATGACGGTAGCCAGCATTCTTCCATTGCCAAGGTTTTGATATCGTCTGCTGCCTCCACCAAGGAGCACCACGCGGTGTTCGCTGAGTTTCCTGATGGGCGGAGATCATCGGCGCTCGAAGAACGTGTTCATGACCAAGGAGGGTATCAGTACAGGAAGGAATCGGCTGCAGTAAACAGTCGATGCCACTTGCACCTTTCTCGGAGTCCTACAATTCCTTCCGACACCTCCGCACCTGGTCGGCAAGAAGAGCCTAGCACTTCATCGACACAGGATAGCCCTCCAGTGCCTGGCGTCATGCTCGAGCAGACCTTCACTCTCGAGCTCAACATACCGAAGAAGGATGACAAGAAGCCGGTCATGGCTTGCTTGTTCTGTCGCGAGAGGAAGATTGCGTGCGGGCCGCCGCCGCCGGACAGTGAAGACAGGACGTGCAAGTGAGTACCTTGAGTATAAGCGATGATTAAACTGTTTATTGTGTAGACAGTGCAAACGTCGCCGACAAGAGTGTAAGTACCCGACCGAGTCATTTCGCGGTCAGCGCCGGGGTGGGCGAAGGAGGAAGAGTACTAAAGAGGCCAACAAGGTGATATTGGGGTAGAATGTTTTGTCCGTTTTCGACATGCCGCCACACTTCTATGATTCTGATTACGGCTTGTTTCTATTTCTATGAAAATTTCGAATCTAGCTGCTTCTGGGCGTTAAGTCTACGCCGATGCCTTCTTCTAAACCGCAATTCATGTACAGAGAACACATTGCGAATGACGCCAAGGCCCACCGGCCTTCGCTGTTCGCTGAAAGCCATGACATGGAAACAGAAAAAATCAAATAGCAGCAGCTCGTTTCGATCGAGCGACCTTTGGGTAACTATATCCAGAGATATGAGCCCAACGCGCTTCCACTGCGCCATGCTGCTGACGGATTAAATAAATAAGTAAAGTTTCATCGATAACGCTGGCCGGCAATTTTGTCCGGCGCACCAGCACCCTTCTGGTCACATCAGCCACTTGCAATCGGATATGTGTGAAGTACGATTTGACCTTTCACACCTGATTAGTACTGCATTTGATAGTATGTCTTGAATTTAGTCAGGAACACCGAGGCCTCCAAATAGTCCAAGCCGACGAATTCCCAAGGTTTTCCACTGTGCCACTCACATTATTGAGTCTGATGTATCCATTATGACAGATGTCACTAGATCTAATCTAATTCGTCTCGGCGGATACGTCTCTTGTAGAGGTCACTACGCCCCACGGGGTATCTTGCCACCATGGCTGCCAAGCCTGTACGGATTGGATGGGATGGTACCACGTCCTGGTGCTGATGGTCGCATATCAAAGACGTAGTTATTTTCATAAATACAATGCAAAATATGTTAGAGACAAAGCGCACCCGTGAAGTGAGGTAGAGTCAACTTGACGCTGCCATCATGTCGAGGTGTATTGGCCGCTCGCACACGCCCGACTTCTTTCCATGCAGAGACTTGCTTCTATGATATACTATTGAACGAAGCTATCATCCGATACACTTCATTTTTGGCGAATTGAGTGAATGCTAACAACGACCTACTATACAGCCTTTGATCCGTGAAATGTGCCGACTGGAATAGAAAGTCTTACGAAGTTCCCTGCATAGCAAGCTATCAGTGAAAACCTAATCTCGCAATCGAAGTGTAATGTATCACCGCTAAAAGAGATGGTGACATGTGGGCCATGGCCATTGGTCTTAAAACCTTGGGTCGCAATCATCCTGCGAGGCGTATGACGGAGAGTACAGTTTGTGTGGGCTATTCAGATATGGAAAATATCAAAGATTGTATGCCGGCTTATAATAAAGGAGTCTGAATCGCGACTCATTATGTGGCTTGAGTTTTAATCATCTTCTAGAGACTATTTCATAGTATTATTTGAGGCATCTAGAAACTCTTGACTGCATAGCGGCCCAATGTGCTTGAAGGCTTCAGATTGTGAAAGCATCATTATGTTTGATTCCTATGGCTCCAAGTGCATCAGATGACGGGATGAGTAAGGAGATAGTAAGAAATCATTGAACAACACATACTTAGGTGAGGACTCGGGAAATCTCAGATATGAAATTTCTCGTGGAAACGATTTGATGATCCAAGCAAATTTATACGACGTCATCTATATCCAGGATATAACAATCACATTGCCTATTGAGGAGAGCGACTTCGTCTCGAAATATTTCAGATCAGCAATATTTAGATAGAATGGACGGATGTGTAATTTCCATGTACAGGCCACGGAAGATAGGCGCCACCCATCATTTGGCTGTGATTGTCAATGTGGGTCGCCTTTACATATTGATAACAAATCAGTTTGTCTCTGGTAAATTGCATCAGGAAAACGGCCAATCGTCTTACAGCGGTCTTACAATACTTTTTATAGCTTTAAGAGAGTTTAAGAGCCGGACTTGGCTTAATTGGTCTTATTCTTGTCTTAAAGTGGGTGCTAAGTACCTAAAAGACACGTAAAAGACAATAATAAGAACCATTAAGACCGGTTAAGCCAAGTCCCGGCCGTAAGACAGGTTGCCATTTTCCTGATGTGCAGCACAATTTACTCAACCCGTAAACGAAGCCGATGCACTTTCGCCTGAATGTGTCCGCAAAATCACGTGATCAGCATCGATCAGCACGGGAACCGACGCGACCTGCGCCACTGCGTCTGACGGAGTCACGTTCATCCGTCTCTCAATTAGGTACAAGTGAATTGAATATATTGAAGTAATGAATAAATGGTACCGAATTAGTTGCGGCTCTCTCTGGACACAGGAAGGATAGTCAATAGTGAAGACAGTAAGGTCCAGATCGAGACCGATTTCCTACCGATTGCAGCTCCATGAGCGGAAATATGAAGATTCCGATTGATTAAACGAGTGTACTTATACACATGAATAATGCCCTTATCTTTTGGGCCATGTGGTACATTCGTGACCGTGACGGACGTGACACAGCCGCAGTCGCTCTTCCGCCTTCCTCCCATTTCTCCTCTGCGCAGCGCTTACTCCTCTTAGCAGCGCTATTCGTCTTGAGTTATCATAGTTCTATGTTTTGAAATCCGTGGCTCCCAACATTTGCAACATTCGGACAATTGGTCTCCCACTTCCCTTACCGTGACAACTTACATGCCGGTTGGCGATCCGACCCGGAGACTGTGATTCTTCGGTTGATTTCATACAGAGAACTTACAACTCTGTGAGTTTTACATATTTTTCCAATACGTGCTTCTATGACAGCTCTGATTCTCGATGCTCGTGTTGTACAGCCTTCTGTGTCGTTTGAGAGATGGTCCGTGCCACGGATAAGATATAGCTTTTTCAATGCCATCACTTGGAACGTATGATCTGACATGGGGTGTAACTAGAACGTCCAACCACCTTTTGATTAATTGACGTTGGAACGGGCCATTGACGAGGTATGACTGCTGCTTGATAAGATCTCTTCCTGTGCTCAAGCTGTCCTCCATCGTCATATCGGAGCGGCTTTACTGGCATAACAGGTAGATCTCGTGACCAACATCGATTATTTGGAAGCCACCTGCGGTACAACACGACTAAAATGGTGCCATCAGCGTCTTGAGCATGGTTTGAAAACACAAAACTTAATATGAGAACTAGTAGACGAATTGATGATGCACTCGTGCTCGACGCAGAGGAAGGTCTAGACATTGCCGAATATGATGGCAGTGTTGATACATTCGAAATAGGAGATTTATACAAGAGAACGAGAAATTATTCATAACTAGAGCTGGAGAGATGGTTGAACGTGTGAAAACGCGTATGAACGAGCCCCCAGGATATGCGGTGGCACGCTTGGACCTCAGTCACTCTCTGGACACAGAGTGTGACAGGCGTTACACATCACCGAGTTGCTCTTCGACATTTCTCCCATTCCACCTTTGTGCTTATTTCGTCTTCTTTCCTCTACTTCCTGTCTCATATATTTGTGTTCTTGTTTCCCATCATGGATTACTATTCATATGTTCAATATTCTGATGATTGGGTCCGTTCTCCAACGTCTGTGACGACGTCTGTGGCTAGCGACGACACCTATGTCGACGCCTACGGTTCTGCGGATCTTTTATACCAAATGAATTATCCAGTGAGTGTCAATTTTTATTGATGTTATGTGCGTCTAGAAGAGCTTTGTATTGTGAAGACGGGATTACCTTCTAAAAATTATACAATTCCGAGGACAGGCCAGACACGCTTCAATACGGCCGCATATTACGGAGGAATAGGATGGAATGAGAACGTCAAATTGTCAAATTATTCAACTCTGGAGGGTGCACTGGACGAGGTGCGAGCATCTTTTCCTTACATACAACACTATCTGGCTCAGTGATCCTTGGATCGTCTGTTAGTCTCGGATTCACACCTCGACATCTTCATCGCCATGCACCCATTCTGCAGGACCCTCGTCAAATTTATGCGACAAGGCAGGCAGCAATCCATTACAGTCTATTTCTTCCACAAGCAATCGGTTACCAGAGAACGAGCTAAGGATATCATATAATACCTTCAATGTCGGGACATTTCCCCAGGTAAGTGTTACATATCACTACATTATGGGTTTATCTCATGCCGTGCAGGAGAGTCCAGACACCAGTGATCATCCGAAGGACCAACTATTGACAGGGGAGGTCCAGATGGTAGGACGACAACGGAAGGGTGATGTACCTTCTGTATGACTTCCTTTAACATAAAACATAGTTCACTCACGTGCGAATGATAGCCAAATATCTTTATGCTGCCCGCTCCGGAAGAGGTAGCTTATCATATCTCGTCATTTCCTCAAGCCGTACCCCATCAACCATACCAGTCGCTGCCTCATGACTTTATGTCTACTCCTTCCTCATTCGACATAAACGCAAGCTCTCTGGACGCAAGCTATGCCGTGAGCCTTGCCAATCCAATGCCCGTTCCTGCCACCACGGACTGGTCCAGAGGGGCGGTCAGTGGGTTGCATCTTCCGTTTAGTGTTGAAGCACTTGTTGAGGTACGTGCACATATTAAATGTTTTTGTCCTTTCTAAATACCGCGCATTCCGCTCTTTGAACAAACGTTGATGTGACTCAGAGTCTGGGTCTAGACTCTTCTTTGACAGAGGAGGTGATAATGACAGGAAGGTCTCTGGGAGGTGACGCACCATCGGTAGGACCGGCCTTTTCCTCCGACTTCCATTCGCTCACAGTTATATGCTAAAGGATACCTTGGTGGAGGTCCTTGCTGCTGAACGCACAGACGTTTTACACCTTTACTCGTCATCTGCCCTCTTCATGTCAATTCAGCAAGAGGCATGTAGCTTGGCGACTCCGGAGAGGGCCTCGATGAATGGAAGCGAGGCATCCGGTTTCTGCGCCATCTATCCACCATGGCCACCCATGGTCCTCAAACATGCTCGCACAATCCATTTCTTCAAGAGACAACAGTGGGGAATGCACGAACACGGCGTCCGTTTCTCAGACATCCTAACTGGCAAGTACGATGGCAACAAGGAACTTGTGCGATCGTACGGGACAAGGAAAAAATGGTTACAGCACATCCTCGTCGCTTTCAACGTACGTTGGTATCCACATCAAATAGTTCCAATTTAGATAACTTCGGCGCTAGATTGAGGACTGCGGGACCTTCTACACCGCTTTGCCTGTAAAAGAAGACATCGATTATATGTCACATGGACTACTCCTTAGACTAATTGGAACTGCTTTTACGAGGTTTCTTCAAACGCAACCGGTATATATGTCCTCTGAGAAATGAACTGTACTCATATGATCCTTTATTAGAGAGGCTTAATCGATCTGGAACGCACGTACCTTCATACCGTGCTGTACTCTGGGCATCATTATTGGTGTGATTGGGTTCTGACGAACCATCGCGACGCGGTAGCTCAAC